CGCGTATGCCTAGGTCAGACTGCCTTCTGCTCTGTAACTCGATCGTCGTCCATGTCAGAGCAGACAAATCACATAAGTCACGTTAACATTTATTAGATCTAATTTGTGATTTGTTTCCGTGACTTGTGTGCTAGGTTCTTCTTCTGAATAACGCCCCTCCCCAATGTCCTTAAGCGTTCCAAGTGGCCAGCAGGAGTGTTTTTTAATTCTTTTTTCTACATCGTCACAGTGAGCAATTTTTGTTACATAGAAGCGTCAAGTATTTATATAGGAAATCTGTTTTATATGTAAGTAGGCATTGTCAAACTATTATTTGCATTAGATAAATTCTATTTTCTTACATTCTTATCTGGGATGTATACTTATGGTGCTAATTTTCACATCTAGTCAGGATAAGCTAGGATTTGCTGCAGTGACAAGCCACTCCTAACAAGCCAAGGGATGTCTAGTCTTTATCCCCTATGACTGATCATGGGCTGGCGCCTGGTAATTTCTGGGACATTGCAGGCAAAAATTGGTTATTCTGTCCCGGAAGTAGCACACTTCTCCACTATGAGTTGGAATACAATGTCTCACCAATGGGTTAGCTTGTGCCCCTTAGAGTTAAGAATTTTTCAGAGTTTTATTGTATATGACATCTATAAAGTGCCTATGCCATTTGTCCAGTTTTCTTTAGGTCATAATTTTCCCAATAAGCGACTTTCTTTTCTGTGATATTGAAGTATTTTCCCTCACTTTTCATTTATTTTTTTGCCCCCATATAATCTTAAGATCTTTACAATATTAAAAACAAACACAAACAAATGAACCCCGTCAGTCTTTTCTTTTATGATGTCTGTGGTTTCTCTTTGGAAAAACTTATAAAATTCCTAATTTCTTTTACAAGTGTATTTTGGGACATTATTACTGTCTTTGAATGTCCTTCAGCCAGTGTTGTTGCTGTTACTTTGAAACGGAACATGGTACTGAGGGTTAAGTGGCATGTCCCTTGCAGATGAGGAAAACAGGCACTTCACAGAGCAGCTTCCTTGGTGTATCTCAGGCCGAGGCTTTTTTTTTTTTTTTTGCAACTGTCTTAAAGACTTCTTGTATATGAAATGAGGAGTGTCAGTCAGTAGTCAGTAGCTGAGTTTGCTTTCCTTTCTCCCCTTTGTCCTGTCTGCCTTCCAATCTCCACTTCCAAATTACTACGAGCAGTTTCCTCAGAGGTGTAGCGTCTCAAATGTCAGGTCACGTGAGCGGGATGCAGCCATTCTGTGCTGGTGGAGATGGGTTCTAGAATCCTGCCAGATACAGGAGTCTATGGATGTTCACATCCCCTCGATAAAATGTACTGTGTTTACTGTAGCTAGTGCACATTCTCCAGTTCGTTTAAGTCATCCTTAGATGACCCAAAATACCCAGTACAATGTAAACACTGTGTGAACAGCTGCTTTGCTGGACTGGTGGGGTGGGACTAACAAGGGAAAGTCTGGGTGTTCGATACAGATGCAGTTTTCCAGGTGTTTTCAACCTGTGGTTGGTTGGGTCTGGTAGTGAGCAGATTGAATTGTTAGAAGGATAGCTTTACATTGGTATATATGTGTGCACGTGTGTGTGTGTGTGTGTGTGTGTGCTTGTACACACACACAGAGGTTGGAAAAACAATTTGCATCAGCTTTCTTCTCCCAGTAGATTTAGAAGGCATTAAACCCAGGTTTCCAGGTGTGGTGGTGGTTCATGCCTTTTCTGTTTGAGTCCTCCAGTCTTTTCTAACAGAGACAATCATCTGCATCCCTCCATGGTGACATCCTGTGGTTTTCATCAGTGTTTCTGCCCTTCTTCTGGGGTTCCCACACCCAGTGTCCACCTCAGGGGTCTGTCCCAAAGTCCCTGTACCAGGGATGCCCCGCCCCTCCCCCTCCTCTGAACTTCACTGCTCCACTCAGATCTCTCTGGGACCGTGCCTCGCCTTGCTCTTTCTGGCCGGGCCACATCCCCTGCATCTTCCCAGGCATAGCTGTCCTGGTGACTAGTGGGAAATGAATGATTTTACACTGTGATGTCACCTATACAGTGAGACAATTTCCTGGTGTATAGAATGTGGCTATGGGACTTTTACTCCTGCCAAGGTCACCAGTAAAGCTGTAGTTACTTAGACAGCCAGTTTGAACCTTGTGCTAGGGAAGAGGGTGAGTGATGGGGAGGAGGAATTTCTCAGAGAGTGGTGGAGATCTAGGATTGGGAACTGTTTCCCTGGCCCCCCCCTTACAGTGACAGGCCACAGCAGTGTACCTGCTCCCTGGGTCTTCTTCTACATTCCCCAAGGCTGCTTTTCTGCCGCTGGGGTCCTTTAGTGCTGCAGGGTTCAGGGTCCTGACCAAGCCCTCTTGTCTCTCTGTAGCTCTTTTCCAACTGTGTCCACAGCTCTCAGACTCACATTTGCCTCAAGGCTCTAGACTGGCGGTTCTCAACCTGTGGGTCACAACCCCTTTGAGGGTCAAACGAGCCTTTCACAGGGGTCGCCCAAGACCATGGAATTCACAGATATTTGCATTGTTATTCATAATAGTAGCAAAATTACACTAAGAAAGTAGCAACAAAAACCATGTGTTGGGGGTCACCACAACATGAGGGGCTGTGTGTAAGGGTTGCAGCATTAGAAAGGTTGGGGAACTCTTGATGTGCATCTTTCTGAGCCGTGTCTGGGTATGCACAGGAGCCCATATAAGCCACACATGCAGGAGGTGTAGGATTCATTTCCCCAGGCTGCTCATATCTGTTTCCTGGTCCTGACTGACCTTGTCATCTCCTGGTATGATTCTTGCCTTTTCTCAGGTTCTCATGGCACAGCCTATCCTAACATCTGATTGGTCCCACACGCTCCAGCTGTCCCAGCAAGCTTCGGCTCTCTGTTGGCCCTGGGGACTTTAAGAGCAGCCTTGTACATTGTCTCTACTTTGTTCCGTGCCTTCTAAGGCAGAGGAGGGGGAGGGAGGGGCCACAATGCCTCCTTTATTGTAGTCTTTATTATAGTCTTTTCGTGTCGTTATTGAACGCCTATGTCCAGAGTGCGCAGGCTGAGGTTGCTCCTCCATCTCCCACGGCTCCCATTTGCCCTGTACGCTGTCCGTTCCTCGGGGTGCCCCTTCCTTACTTGTCCAGCACGGGGCTCTCATTCCTCGGGGTACAGGGATCCATATTGGACTTTTTAAAAATATAGTCTTGTGTGCCAAAAATTGTGATTGTGTGGAGTGAGGCCTGATCTCCGTGTGAAAGGCCTTTCCTTGATGGGAAAGAGCAGCTCGTCACAAAAAGTCTGTAAAAAATTCACAGACTGCTTCTGTCACAATTGCAACTTCCTTTGTGCTACGTCACTATGTGAAAAGAGAAGAGGGTGAGCGGTGGGGATGCCCCTTGGGGATGGTGGCACTCAGCTGGCACTGGGAGCTGCTGTCCCGGCCTACCCATCCCTCTGTCACCTGCTTTTGACATTTGCCTCCAAGCTTGTTCTTGAAACCCTTTCTGTGCAGCTTCTACAAGGCACTCTAACGCCTGCCGGTGTTCCTGTGTCTGAGCTCTCCTGTTAGAGTCTGGTTACCCTGGGGTAGGGTCAACACTTTGTTTCCAGCTCTCTTGTCGTTGTTGTTTTTTTTCTGTTGCAGATGCTCTATAATTGTTTTTGTTTGTCTAAATAAGATGTAGTTGAAAGGATTGAAGTACTTGAAGGTTTAAAATCATGTAGATAGATGTTAGTAATGAGAATCAAGAATAGTAATTTTTCTGATGTCTTTTTTGTTTGTTTGTTTTTTGTTTTTCACGACGGGGTGGGTTTCTCTGTATTGCTTTGGAGGCTGTCCTGGAACTAGCTCTTGTAGACCAGACTGGCCTTGAACTCACAGAGATCCACCTGCCTCTGCTTCCCGAGTGCTGGGATTAAAGGTGTGTGCCACCAACGCCTGGCCTGATGTTTTTACTTTTGTCTCATTCTCAAAAACAACAGTTAAAACCTTAGGTGGAGCAAGTGCTAGAACCCGCTGAGAGACGTTTGTCTTGCTCTGTGTTTCAGAGGACATGGTCCGGGACAACAGGCTGTTGTCATCACAGCGCAAGGCAAGAGCCTGTCATCTGTACTGCAGGGGGAGGTGCTTTATAACCCCTGTGTATATACAGGCTTTTAGTTGTATTTTTGCGCACATTTAGTGAGAATGAGTCTCCTAACAGAGAAATGGCCGCTTTCCCTTAGCTCTCACATTCCACAAGACACCCTGTTCTCAGGCCTGTGGGTGGAGAGCCGGCAGCCTCGGGCTTGCCTCTGCCTGTGAGGATCGTGGCTCTGAGCTTTGTGGGGAGTTCAGTGGTTTCCCCGCTGGACTTGGGGAAGGTGTGACCCGCACCCAACACCCATCCAGGGTTCTGTGTCCTTTACCTTTGCCATTCTCCTGGCTAAGCCACCGTAGTGACGATTACTCCACTGTGCTCACCACCATGGACAGTAGCCTCGAGCCTTCTTGCAACTCTGGAGACTCAGGGGAGCTTGACCCTGCCCTGAGCATTGTGGGAAACTTGGAGCTTTACTCCCACCAGTTGTTGAGACCTGAGTCATCTTAAGTACGTTTGCCCGTCCCTCAGCTCCCAGAGTGGCCTGAACTTCCCATCCCTGTGTCCCCACTGCTGTCTCCTTCCTTTCCGGTGTCCTGCCCTCACCTGCACACACCTGTCTCCAACCAGGTGCAATGCAGGAAGTGCATATTGACCCATCACTTAAACTTGGAGCTCCTCCCTGGGAAATGCCCCATTTTTTGCCTTTTGCAAATGAAAATAACTTAGTTTATATATTAACTGTGGTAGCTTTGTCCTTAGAATTAAGTATAACACTGAAGGATCCCAGTCTGTTGCTAACGTGAAATTTTAATTTGTCTTTACAGGTCAACTTTGTAGTGTGCCAACTCTTAAAATTAAGTATAACACTGAAGGATCCCAGTCTGTTGCTAACGTGAAATTTTAATTTGTCTTTACAGGTCAACTTTGTAGTGTGCCAACTCTTAGCCTTGTTGGCAGCCATTTGGTTTCGAACTTATCTGCATTCAAGCAAAACTAGCTCTTTTATCAGACACGCAGTTGCTACCCTTTTGGGCCTTTATCTTGCATTTTTTTGCTTTGGATGGTAAGTAATTATTTTGATCATGTTTAAGTGAACGCTGTTAGGTATATTTGAGAATTGAGTCTGTAGAGGGATATATCATCTAGGATTTTGTTTTGAAATTTACTTACAAAGTTTACTTTCAAGGCTCGCTTTCAAAATCTTGAGTCTAAACAATGGGCTGGGAATGGGAATTTCTTGAGCTTTGTCTTGGGGAAGATTTGTGAGCATGGACACGGAGGATTTATGAAAAGTCTGTTGTTAAGTAGATCTTTTCACCCATCTTGGAAATATTTTATGCTGAAACAAGCAATAAATTGTTGTGTTGTTTGTTCCTTTGGGTTTTCTCTGTGCTGTTGGCTCTGATGAGTCTGGGAAAGCCCATTTGATTGACTCTCATAGTGTTAGCAACAAAGAGGCTTTTGTTTGTTCTTGGTAGAGAAAAAATTAAGAGAAAAATTTTATTCAGGATCCTTCACAAGGGGGTGTGTGTGGGGGGCTGTGTGTGTGTGTGTGTGTGTGTGTGTGTGTGTGGTGGGGTGTAGGGTGGGGTGTCAGTGTGTGTGGGGTGGGGTGTCTGTGTGTGTGTGTGTTTGTGTGTGGTGGGGTGTAGGGTGGGGTGTCAGTGTGTGTGGGGTGGGGTGGGGTGTCTGTGTGTGTGTGTGTTTGTGTGTGTGTGGTGTGTGTGTGTGGTGTGTGTTTGTGGTTGGTGTGTGATGTGTGTGTGTTTGTGTGGTGTGTGTGTGTAGTGTGGTGTGGTGTATGTGTGTTTATGTGAGGTGTGTGTGTTTGTGTGGTGTGTTTCAGTCCAGTCTTCCTCACCGGGCTAGCCTGAGGCTTACAGTTAAAAGAAGCACTGCCTGTACTGCTTCTTGGCACCCGTGGGCTTGTCCGAATGAGGAAAGGGGTAGGAAGGTGCCCGGTCACTGCTGGCAAGGCAGCAGACTTTGGAAGGGCTTCTTGGTGACACACACGTTTCCCTCCTGGGTGAGCACTTGCGAGTGCCCCCCATTCACAGACGAGTGCCCTGGTTTGCTCTTCTGCAGGCACCTATCTGAGCTGAGAAGGCCGTGAGAGAGCTGCATGACCCATGCTTGTGAGGTTCCACCGTGGGCTGGATAGCCGGTGCCACTCTTAAGTTAACAATGTTCTTATCTTCAGATGTTCCGGTTTTATCCTCACCAGCGCTGCACTACCTGGCATTTCTTAATCTGCCCTTTGCCTGCAGCAATTGCAAATGTTTCCTAGGACCCCATGAGAAGTCATCTGAGTGTAATTTATCCATGTCAATCACAAATCAATCAACAGCATAATTTCTTCCATCTCTACCATATTGCCTTTGGCTGGCTCTCTGGTAGCCCACGGTATTGTATTGCCTGTGTTTGGTGTATATAGTGCTGTGATTTTGCCACAGTATCTTAAGGTTCAAGCATATGGGCCCTTTTTCACTTCTTGGACAGCATTACGTTTATGTCGTTGAAGTTTTCTGAGGTTTCTATTTTGACTTGTAGGAGGTAGTCTATGTTTTTAAACATCATAGAACTTTTCCAACATAGACTAACTGGATGGACCGTAATCCACTCATTACCCAGCTTCAACAATTACTAACATCCCCATTCCTAGAGCACACTGAAGTGTATCTCAGTGTATACATTCATGGATAGCTAAGTATCTCATATGTGTAGCGTGTTTACATGAGGGGCAGAGAACACTTCTAGCTCAGATTGACTTAGGGGCCCCTTTATTTGGTAGCCTGGAAAAGCAGGTGTGTTCACTAGGCCAGGGAGGGTGGGGTGGGGTGGGGGCAGAGTGAGTGAGTGAGTCTCTTTACTGAGCTATCATTTGCTGAGGTGTTCCAGCATGTTAAATCTTTACGGGTACCTTATGACACAGTGTCACAGTTACCAGAATTTAGCTCAAGATTAGGTTGTCTTGAGTTTCAAGTTACATAAGGTAGCAAGGGATTTATTTGGGTTCTTTATTTTTATTTTCTTATTCTTATTTTGGGTTCTTCTTATTTCTCTCTTTGATAAGAGGGGGAGAGTAAGTTAACTATTTATTGGACTTAGTTAATGGTAAGTATTCTGGTTTATTCTTTAGCTTTGCATTTATTAGTGTTTTGCTTTGTTTTTTGGTTCATAGGCAATCCTACCACTGATCTTTACAGCTTCTCTTTGGAGGACATGTTTGCTCTGTAGATATAATTGCTCACCGACTTCCCCCTTTCCTTGGCGCCTACGAATTTCTTAAAACAATTATTACTCATTACACAGTCTTGATTGGCCAGTGAGCTGGCCCAGCGGGTAAAGGTGCTTGCCGCCAAGCCTCGTGACCTGTGTTTGATCCCTGGGAACCACGTGATGAAAGGACAGACCTGACAGAACTGTTGTCCGCTGACTTCCGAAGGCGCATAGGCGTGCACATGTACACACACAACAACAAGCAAATGTGATACAGACTTTCTAGGAGAGTACAGGATAATGAAAGCTTAGATTTTGAAGCCAGACAGACCTGGGTTGAGTCTAGTGCTCTGTGACTCTCAACCGCTGACTTTGGGCACCTTACTGTAATGCCTTTAGCTTTATTTTGTGTGTAAAATGGAACAGAGATTGATTATTGAGGCCTGGAGCTTTGCAAAGGAGCACGGGACGGCACTTGTTAGCATGGCCTTTTTACAGGGTGAGTGCCCCTTGCCTAACTTAGGTTCTTGGGGTTAGAAGTGCCTGAGTTTGGAATATTTACGTAGACTTTGCTGGTTGAAGTACTGTAATAAAGAAGCCTGCATTCTGGGATGCCCCAGAATAGGAAGTTTTTGAGTGGACTTGTGGATTGGAGATGCTCACACCATACTACCATTATCCAGTTGTTAAGAGCAGGCATTTCTCCCTTCATCCAGTCTCGTGGTTACCCCTTTTCATATAGCGCTGAATTAGCTCTCACTCCTGTGTAGTTGTTTATCTCTTTGCTCTTTAGGGGGCCTGCCACCCACCTCCAAAATAATTCACACGGAGTCTTATTATTACTTACAAATGCCCGGCCTTAGGTTGGCTTGTTTCTAGCCAGCTTTTCTTAAATTGTTCCATCTACATTTTGCCTCTGGATTTTTATCTTTCTCTGTTCTACCTACATTTCTTTACTTCTTACTCCGTGGCTGTCTGTGTAGCTGGGTGGCTGACCCCTGACATCCTTCTCTCTTCATTTTTCTTGGCCTGGATCTTTTCCTCCCAGATGTCTCCTCCTATTTCTCCTCTCAGCCTGCCAACCCTCCCTATCCTTTCTCCTGCCTAGCTCTTGGCCATTCAGCTCTTTATTAGGCCAATCAGGTGTTTTAGCCAGGCAAAGTAGCACAGCTTCACAGAGTTAAACACATGCAACACATCTTTGCATCATTAAACAAATGTTCCACAGCATAAACAAATTTTCCACAGCATAAGCAAATGTAACACATCTTAAAATAATATTCTACAACACTCCTGTGCCTCTCTCGAGACTTGCCATGTGTTACTTCACACTGAAGCGACTAGGGTGTGTTCCTATGTACGCGATACTAATGATGACATGTGAGGTAGCTCATGTGAGGTAGCGCAGCGAGGGGTGTAAGGGATGACTGGTGTGGTAACTGAGTAGAGCAGGAACCCGCTGCTAATTGTGGAATTCACAAAGCAGATGAATCCGGAGCCAGCTAGGGTTCGAAGCTTGATTTACCACAGCAGCAGAGACGAGCGTGACAAGTAACTGCCCAAGGGTTACTCTGCACAAAAGCCAGCTAAGCATGCTGGGAGTAGGAGCCTGAAGTCGCTAGGGTGATGTTGGAAGAGTTCTACTGTGGCTTCAAAGTCTTTTGTCCCAAGGAAATTTGCCTAGAAAAGGAAGCACTTTCCTCAGGAACCCTCAACCAGACATGCTCCTTCACCCTGTAGAAGATACTTTTAAATATTAAATGTCCTTACAAGTACCTTGCAGTCCCTAACAATGCGTCTAAAGGTCTGTTAGTGAACTGTTGTTGGTGTTGGCAATAATTAGGTGGATGATATTTTGATTAATTATTTTAAAGTTTCATTCTATTTTCATTTATACTTGTGTATGTTTTCCTGTTGCCTCCTAGCCCTCTGATGATAGCAGCATTCAGGACATTGTTGTTTTCTGGATGTGTGTATGTGGTGTGTATATATATACATGTGTGTGGGTGGAGTGTGTGTAGGGATGCAGCCTGGACTAGTCTGTATAGTGGGTAAAGTTCCTGTCTTCTACAGACCTGTCTCAGGGCCTGCTCTTTATTTGTAAATATATCTATAGAAAAAAACCGTGTAAGCAGTTCATTCATAATACCTGATGGTCTGTGATGAAGTTAAAAGGTAATTTTAATTGTATATTAGGATCTTAATGATTTGTACATAACAACTGCAAAAGTTTGCTATAAACCATCAAAAATGGAAGTTGGAAGAGGGCAAGTGTGTGTATATGCACACGAACAGGGATGGTTTGGGCTGAGTGTAGTCCCGAGTTCCTTTTGTCATTAAGTGGCTGATTTCTATATTGGAATATTAGAAAGGATTGTCATGCTAATTAGTAAATACATCAGAGAGTATTACTGGAATTTTAGGAGGTTCATTTGACTTGACCACTGTGCATTGAGAATAAATTGGGGTGTTTTTAGTAACTTGTTTTGTGAATTACATTGTCAAAAGGATAAAAACAAAGTGAAAGCTGGTGTTGGGGAAGTTTGGGGAAATAGCAGGCATTCTGCCAGGAGTTTTCTGAAATTCATGTCTATTACTCCTTTTACAATGACCGTTTCTTGTCTTATGAGGAAGGTGACATCCTTGGTCCATACGGCCCCACACCACTGTCCCATTGCTAGGTTATATGGAGTGCTGGGGCCTTGAGCTGGCCTTGTAAAGGTTGGTTTTATTTTTCCAGCTCCTTTGGCACAAGGCTTGGGGCTCCCTGTCCCTGGTGTTTGCAGAATGTCTGGAAGGTTTAATCTTTTTTTTTTTTTTTTTGGTATGGGGACGTTCTAGGTTACATTAAGTACTTTTCCACCTGTAGTATTTGAACCTGATGGTTGTGACTGCTTCTAACACATTCTCACTTTTTATAGGTATGCCTTAAACTTTCTCGTACAAAGTGGGATTTCCTACTGCATCATGATCATAGCAGGAGTGGAGAGCATGCATCAGTGAGTATTGACTGTGTTCACACAGAAAAACACCTTTCGCTTGAGTAGAGTCTGATCAAAAATAATAACAGTCACATCTGTTACACCACAACACTCCTGAAGCAGGATGACTTCTTAGGAAGTGGCACAGTGTAAAAGCTTGCATTGTGGGGTGTTCGGCCGCACCCCCAGCTTCTATCCGTTAGACACCAGGGGAACCCTGAGTTGTGACGTAAACCAGTGTTCCCAGATACGTGCCTGAGGGCAGGATGGTCCCTGTTTAATAGCTGCTGCTTCAGTCTATAGGTGATTGGCAGTAGAGAACTAACGCAAATAGATGGAGACTTAGAAGGTAAATTTATGACTGAGTAATTAATGGGAACTCTGAAAAGGAAACCGTGGCCCTATTCCTGGCTTGCACACAGAAGAAATGGAAGCAGTTTCTCAATTTGGGACTTTGAAAATAGGGACCATACTGAGAGGTAGCCAGCGCCCCCGAAACAGTGTGTGGCAAACGTTTAGTATTTCCTGAATCAGTGAGTGTTAACTTGAGCAACTGTGAGATGCTCAGCAGGAGTTGAGGAGCTAGGTGGGCGGGGGTAGGGACTAGGTGGGCAGGGGTAGGGACTAGGTGGGCAGGGGTAGGGACTAGGTGGGCAGGGGTAGGGACTAGGTGGGCGGGGGTAGGGACTAGGTGGGCGGGGGTAGGGACTAGGTGGGCGGGGGTAGGGACTAGGTGGGCGGGGGTAGGGACTAGGTGGGCGGGGGTAGGGACTAGGTAGGCAGGGGTAGGGACTAGGTAGGCAGGGGTAGGGACTAGGTGGGCGGGGGTAGGGACTAGGTGGGCGGGGGTAGGGACTAGGTGGGCGGGGGTAGGAGCTAGGTGGGCAGGGGTAGGAGCTAGGTGGGCAGGGGTAGGGACTAGGTGGGCAGGGGTAGGGACTAGGTGGGCGGGGGTAGGGACTAGGTGGGCGGGGGTAGGGACTAGGTGGGCGGGGATAGGGACTAGGTGGGCAGGGGTAGGGACTAGGTGGGCAGGGGTAGGGACTAGGTGGGCACGGGTAGGGACTAGGTGGGCAGGGGTAGGGACTAGGTGGGCAGGGGTAGGAGCTAGGTGGGCAGGGGTAGGAGCTAGGTGGGCAGGGGTAGGGACTAGGTGGGCAGGGGTAGGGACTAGGTGGGCAGGGGTAGGGACTAGGTGGGCAGGGGTAGGGACTAGGTGGGCAGGGGTAGGGACTAGGTGGGCAGGGGTAGGAGCTAGGTGGGCAGGGGTAGGAGCTAGGTGGGCAGGGGTAGGAGCTAGGTGGGCAGGGGTAGGGACTAGGTGGGCAGGGGTAGGAGCTAGGTGGGCAGGGGTAGGGACTAGGTGGGCAGGGGTAGGGACTAGGTGGGCAGGGGTAGGGACTAGGTGGGCAGGGGTAGGGACTAGGTGGGCAGGGGTAGGGAGCTAGGTGGGCAGGGGTAGGGACTAGGTGGGCACGGGTAGGGACTAGGTGGGCAGGGGTAGGGACTAGGTAGGCAGGGGTAGGGACTAGGTGGGCAGGGGTAGGGACTAGGTGGGCACGGGTAGGGACTAGGTAGGCAGGGGTAGGGAGCTAGGCTGGAAGTGTATGTACTTTTGGGAGCAGCATTACATCAAAGGTCCTTGATTGAAAACCCAAGGACAGTCTGCCCGCAGATCCTCCTGTTGGTGATTCTGTAAGAGTGACGTGTGACATATGGCATATGTACTGGACTTCTGAATTCCTGGAACACATGGCTACAGCCGTTGTGCATAAGAAATCAGACCCTTAGTGCTTGATCAGCACTTTCCAAACTCTAATTTTGTTTTGTGCCTTTTGTGTTTGGCGTGATGGGTCTTCCCTTCGGTTGTAATATGCTGTTTATTGATTAGGCAGGCTTCTCTAGAACAGAAGCTATAGTGTATTGTGTACAAGAGGTTCATTAGAGTGGCTGACAGTCTGAGGCTGGGTAGTCCCTCAGTGGCCATCTGTATACCCAAGAGCCAGAGAACCCAGTAGTTGCTCAGTTCGAGTAGAGGGAGGCCTCAGAACTGTGTCTGCAGCCTGAGGCTGGGGGCCTGCAGGCCTCCTGGCGGGTCATTAGTGTGAATCCACAGTACACGCAGGAGTGTGATGCCTGCAGATCATAGCAGGAGCAACAGACCACTCACTCAAGAAGACCTGACTCTGGTCTCCTTAGCTGCTTCCTCGACGCTCTTCTGTTGGCAATTGTCAAGCCTGTTGGATGGCACCACCCTCATTTAGCGCAGGTCCCTTCTGATTTGCTGTCCCACATGCTGGTTTTTGGAAATGCCCCGATAGACATACCTAGAAGTGTGCTCTGTGAATCTCCTAAGTGTCCCTCAATTCAATCAAACGGACAAGATTAACCTTCTTCATTTCCTCACACACAGCCCATGCTGACTTTTTCTTTCCTTCTGTGAACTAACACTTAAAAGTCGATGTTTGGTTTTAATTTTGATAAGGGGAAAATATTTTGATAGTGTTTTGGGTGAAGCAATCTTTGTGTCATTACAACCTTATTTTTAGAAGAAAATTTTAAAATTTTTAATTTTTGTGTATGTGCGAGCACCTACATGTCTGAATGTGTAGCACGTGTGTGCAATGCCCACACAGTACAGAAGAAGGCATCGGATCCTGTAGAACCGGAGCCAGAGCCATGTGGATGCTGGGAACCAAGCCAGATCCTCTGCAAGCGCCATCTCTCCAGCCCCCTACAGCCCCCATTTACAAAGCCTTGTACAGATGAGAGATTCAGGGTGATAATACTTCATAACTGATGAAAAAGGGTTATGTTTCTGACCCGGACAGTAGAGGAAAAGCAGATGGAATTGCTGGAAGCAAGAGGACTTAGCTGCTACCACCTAGAGCAAGGGTGATAGGCTTTTGTGTTGGAGTAATAGTTCGTATCTTTAAAAGTAAAATTATGCCTTCTCCTGAAAGGCAGGAGTAGTCTGTGGAGTCAACATCTTAACACTTTAGACTTGCACTGTACAGAATGGTAGCTGCTGATTACATGCAGCTCTGCAAGTCTGTCGGTCAGTCAGTCAGTCTGTCTGTCTGTCTGTCTATCTATCATCTAACTATCTGTCATCTATCTATGTATTTATCTGTCATCTATATGTATCATGTCTATCTATCATCTATCTATCTATCTATCTATCTATCTATCTATCTATCTATCTATCTTCAAGACAAGGTTTTTCTGTGTAGCATTGGCTGTCCTGGAACTCTCTCTATAGCCCAGACTGGCCTCAAACTCAGAGATCTACCTGCCTCTGCCTCCCGAGTGCTGGGATTAAAGTTGTGCACCACCACACCTGGCTCAAGCTATGTTAGTTTAAATTCATTAAAATTTAAAATGCATTTTTAAAAAATCCCAGTGTGGCATTCATCTTTAGTCCAAGCACTCAGGCTGAGGCAGGAGGTTTTTGAGTTTGAGGTCATCTTGGACTACATAAGGCTGCCATTAAAAATCAAAACAAAACAAAAACCAGAAACCAGAAACAACAAAACACAATAATAATAAAAATAAAATAATAAGCATTAATCCAATCTAAGGAGGTCACCCCTAAGCACATACATGTACATGTGAGCAGCACTCAGTGGATTCAGGGTGTGTGTGTAGGTACGTGTATGTATGTGTATAACAATAACAACCATGGAAAAAGAGGCTGTAAGTTTGAGAGGGAGGGGGTATAGTTGGAGAGCGAGAGGGAGGAGTGAAAGTGTTGCAGACTTGATACTCACATATGGAATTCTCAAAAAGTAATTGTAATAATAAACGTCAGTACTTGTCATAGCTGTGCTTCAGGTGCTCAGGAACCACATGTCTGAGGTGTTTGGTGGTGACTGTGCTCAGTGCAAACAGCATTTCTCCTGGCGGTGACTGTGCTCAGTGCAAACAGCATTTCTCCTGGCGGTGACTGTGCTCAGTGCAAACAGCATTTCTCCTGGCGGTGACTGTGCTCAGTGCAAACAGCATTTCTCCTGGTGGTGACTGTGCCCAGTGCAAACAGCATTTCTCCTGGTGGTGACTGTGCCCAGTGCAAACAGCATTTCTCCTGGTGGTGACTGTGCCCAGTGCAAACAGCATTTCTCCTGGTGGTGACTGTGCCCAGTGCAAACAGCATTTCTCCTGGTGGTGGCTGTGACAGTGCAAACAGCATTTCTCCTGGTGGTGGCTGTGACATTGCAAACAGCATTTCTCCTGGTGGTGGCTGTGACAGTGCAAACAGCATTTCTCCTGGTGGTGACTGTGCCCAGTGCAAACAGCATTTCTCCTGGTGGTGACTGTGCCCAGTGCAAACAGCATTTCTCCTGGTGGTGGCTGTGACAGTGCAAACAGCATTTCTCCTGGTGGTGGCTGTGACATTGCAAACAGCATTTCTCCTGGTGGTGACTGTGACAGTGCAAACAGCATTTCTCCTGGTGGTGACTGTGACAGTGCAAACAGCATTTCTCCTGGTGGTGGCTGTGCCCAGTGCAAACAGCATTTCTCCTGGTGGTGGCTGTGCCCAGTGCAAACAGCATTTCTCCTGGTGGTGACTGTGCCCAGTGCAAACAGCATTTCTCCTGGTGGTGACTGTGCCCAGTGCAAACAGCATTTCTCCTGGTGGTGGCTGTGCCCAGTGCAAACAGCATTTCTCCTGGTGGTGGCTGTGACAGTGCAAACAGCATTTCTCCTGGTGGTGGCTGTGACATTGCAAACAGCATTTCTCCTGGTGGTGACTGTGACAGTGCAAACAGCATTTCTCCTGGTGGTGACTGTGACAGTGCAAACAGCATTTCTCCTGGTGGTGGCTGTGACATTGCAAACAGCATTTCTCCTGGTGGTGGCTGTGCTCGTGCAAACAGCATTTCTCCTGGTGGTGGCTGTGATGGTGCAAACAGCATTTCTCCTGGTGGTGGCTGTGACATTGCAAACAGCATTTCTCCTGGTGGTGGCTGTGCTCAGTGCAAACAGTATTTCTCCTGGTGGTGACTGTGACATTGCAA